TTCTGAAGCTTAACTCAATCCTGGCTTTCAAGGTTGCAAATGATGTAATCACAATTGATGAAAATCCTTCGCTCCATCCGGACTGGCCTCATCTCTACTGGTTGATTATGCCTTGTCCACTGCCACCTTTGCTGGGACAAAGCTCCCACCTTCAGTTGCTCTCCTAAGTCTTTGAATATATTGTTCAAGGCCTTTCTCCTCTTTACTGCTATCCTGACCTGTAGATGCCTTGTATTCTCCCTCCTGTTTTCAGTAAGAGCTCAACTGATGTTTGCAGAAATTACTGCTCCATTAAGCACCAATAGCACATCTCTGGATGTGTCTAAATGTGTCTGTAGGATATTTCCAGATATCATTGGCATGTGAGTCACTGACCTAAGGGAAGAAGACCTGCCTTCAATGTGGGCAGCACCGCCTAATAAGGCAGGGGCCCAGATAGAACAATGGAAGGGGGAAGCCACCTTGCACTTGCAAGTTTTATTCTATTGAGCAGCTGCATCGTTTGCTGATGTCATCAGTTGAAAAATCAGACTCCATCTTCTTTAGCCTTTCAATGCAAACTCACACAAGCAACTTTCCGGGGAGCTCCCACATCAGCTTTGAAATGGGCTGCATCCTTGTCACGAACCTTCCAACAGGAGGTTCTCCTATCAATTCTACACTTTTTTGCCATATGAATTTGAAGGCATTGTTAGTGAATGTAAATACATCTAAGATTTATATCAATCTCCAAACCTCTGGGAAGACACTCTTGACCCAAGCACATAAGATCTCCGTAAAGTCTCAATGAATTAACTCCTGATTCAAGTTTATAACCTAAAGGGCATGATTCACTTGATCAGAGAATTAGGAGATTATTATTAAAAAAAAATTAAAGCACACTCCCTATAAATTTCAGATTAATGAATTAACAGAAACATTAAAGTAAATAGATTAAAAGCCAGCTAGGTATGGTGCACACCCCTGTAATCCCGGCACTCAGGTGACTGAGTCAGGAAGGTTGCTGTTTGAGGCCAGCCTGGGCTACAAAGGGAGTCCGAGGCCAGCCTGAACTGCACAAAAAGGGGGAAAAAAGGCAACTACACAAAAAATAAACATACGGTTACTAAAACTTCAAGAAATCAGAGAAGAGCTAGTTATAACTATACTGACAAACTAAATGTCCACCTAAATGGCTGAAATTAGAATGCAAATTAGTTAGTGCTAAGGATCATGTGAAACAACTAGAATGTGTGCATATATTTTTACCAGGAGACAAGTACTACATTGCTCATAGTTGAAAGCTAGCCCAATACTGTACTCACCACTCAGTACAATCAATAAATAATGTGTGACTGTTGATTGTGAAAGGTCACCTTCACCAGAGTAAGAAACACCTAGATTAGCACAGCATAGTTCTAGGTGTGTCTGCAGGTGACTGTCATATAAGCTAGCAATCGGATGGGAAAGAACCTGTTGTGGGCAGCATCAACCAATAAGCTTGTGATAAAAGGGTAAGATTTGTGCCTATTTCTGAAGTGCTCCAGTCTTCTTATGTATTTCCTTTGCTGATGTTGTCTTGGAGCATCTGTCTCCAGTTTCTTCAGCCTTCCGATGCTGACCTGCACCAGTGGCTCCCACTAAGCCTGCAGCCCTTCAACCTTGGGCTGGTGCTGTATCTAACTCCCTCTTGTGCTGGGATTTCCATCTTTCCGGGCTGAGCAGCTAGAGGATCCTCCAGCCACCAGCGTGCAGATGGCCACTGTGGACTCTCCCACTTCTGATCCCGCAAACCTATCTACTAAATCCCCTTGCATAATTACATATATTTTCTATGGATTCTGTTCCTCCAAAGAATCCTAACACACCAAACACAGGGGCATATTAAACAAGAATGATGAGCCTGTGAGCACAGGCAGCTGTTAAGAACTGAATTTTTGTGTCTTCCTAAAATTTGTATGTTGAAGCCACAGTCCCCAGTATGTGCTGAGTCAAGAGATGGGAAAAAACTAAGTTTAGATGAAGTCATGAAGCTGGAACTCCAACGATGGAATTAATGTGCTGATAAGAAGCTGAGGAGACAGCAGAAGTTCCTTTTCTATGTGAGGACACAGTAAGAAGGTAATCATCTCCAAGCCTTCACCAAAGAACCTGACCACACTGGCACCCTGATCTTGGACTTTGAAGTCTTGAGAATTCCAAGAATAATGATGTTTAAGCCAACCAGTCTTTGGTTATTTTGTAATAGAAACCTGAGCTATAAGATATCAATTAAAAGAAAGCACCTTATCAATATAATTTTCAGCTAAAGAAGCCAGCCATGAAAGAGTATACATTGTGTACTTCTTTAAAGCATAAAGCAGGCGAAATTGTTTATGCTACCCTTGGCGATGAGGTAAGGGTAAGGTGGTTAGTGACTGGAAAAGAGCTAGAAAGCTTCAAGGGGGCTAGCAATACTGTTTCTTGATTTGGTTGCTGGTTATATGTGGGAGCCTGTCAAGCTGCATTCCCCTGAGAAATGAAGCCCCTTGCCTCAATCTTTACCTGACCTTTACTTCAACCCTATTCACTGAGACATGCAGGCTGCCTACATTGAACCAGATGTTCCCTTAATTGGCCAAAGCAATGTGATCAAGTCTGGTGAGGTGCTGATGAGTCTTGGCATAGCAAAATGAGTCAGAATTGTGTATATTAATCAATAAAATCAAGAAAAAATTTAAAATGTATTTACTAAAACCCTAATGAAGGGATAATGCCATGCACATAGAAGCAGAAATAAAAACAAAACACAACAGTCACTGAAATAAATGTATGACTGTTAAACAGTAAATGAAATTAGCAGAAAGAATTTTTTATTTAGAAAAAGATTTGAGAAAACTCCCCAGGGAGCAGCATGGAGGGGTTAAAAAGGTGGGAAATACAAAAGAGTTTTTAGACACATAGGATAAAATGTGAAGATAAGATATAAATAGGAAAACTAGCTGGAAAAGATATGCTATACAAATAAACAAATGACGTGAATTTTCCAGAAATGAACAAAATAAGAATTTGGTTCATGAGAAATGAGTTCTTGAGCATAATAAATATCAATCATTATATTTGGAATAGTATCTGACTGCTGGAAAGGTTCTCTTAAGCAAACTAGTGTTTCCTTTGTTTTAAAGATGAAAAACCTGAAGCCCCAAAAGATTATGTGACTTATCTAGGATCAAAGAGCTGATTAATGATGGAGACAGAAGCCACCTTAATATGCTGTATTTTACAAGTAACAGATGAAAAGAGCAAAAACAATTTGGTATCACCATCATGAGAACAATCTGAAGGTATCCTGTTCAAGGAATTTGAAAACTGTCAAATGAAAGCACTGCTCAAGTGCCTTGAGTAAGTGCTTAACAAATGGTATTTAATAAATGACTACAGCAAACTAGAGCTGCCCACACATACCTTAAAGAGTTTCAAAGACAATCTTTCTATTTGGAATTTAGGCCACCAGAATCATTTTAGTACCTGACTTAGTTACTTTTTTACTCATTGTTGAGACAAAAATACCTGACGCCCAAAATTAGGGAGGAAACGTTTTTTTTCTTACAGTTCTTGGAGGTTTCAGTCCATAGGCAGGTGGCTCTGAGGTAGTGTGGCAAGGTGGCACAGCCCTTCATGGTTACTACAAACAGCAAAAGCAAAAGCGAAAGACACACCTTCTTGCCATTACACTGGCTCCACCCCTGGGCGGGTGAAACACTCACACCACCAATCTGAGCGCTAGACAATGAACCAATCACAAATGCTAGATTTGATGAAGTCTATAATTGTATAAGGCTTGGGGGCCACTGACGTAAACCATGACAGAACCTAAATTTCATACTCATTAGCCTTCCCTATTTAATAAATGTTTCAGAATTTTAAAATGCGTTTGAATCACATTTTTTCCTATTATACTCATCACAATATAAGGTAAATTACTTTCCTCCTTTGAAACAGAACAATTTGATATGTAACAACCTCTGTCTATTCTAAGACTGATACAGATTTCAAACTGGTTGGGGGAGGGATGAAACGTACTTGGAGATCTCATATACATAAATCTTATGAATAATTTTTGGTAAGTCAGAGGCTTGTTTTAAGCATGTAAGAAGAAAAGATCTAGTAAGTGTAGGGAACTGTAAAGTTAGCCCTTGTTCATAGTTCATAATTTTGAATTTGTGGAAAGCAAAATTCTATAATTTTAATGCTCTTATATTGTAAGACCATAAATAAAATAATTTTATGGTTCCTTTTGAGAGTTTTTAGGTTGACAATTATGTCTCAAACATATTAAAGACTTAAAAGTATCAAAATATGATTTGGTATGTTCTAGGTTGAAATATTTTCAGGAATTTCTTAATCTTTTGCTTGTAAGTAAAACAACTTTATTATGTCATGAAAGCTTAAGTCTAAAATATGTAAGGCACAGATAGTTCCTTAATAATTTAACATAGCAAAAAATGTTGACACTTAAATACCTACTCTTGTGAGACAACTAATTTGTTCTATGGATGAATTTTTAACTTTTCAGAGCATCTTGGTGAGTTTCAGCTCTTATAAGAGTTAAATATACTTCAAAGTTTCACTGATAGAAAGCCTTTCCTTGATCACATGTTTTAAAATAGGGCCCCATTTTAGGCAACCTCAGTACTCTCTGCTCCTAATCCTGCTTTATTTTTCTTCTAAGCAGCTCTATCACCCCATCTGGTATATATTTTTATTCATTTGTTTGTGACCTATTAGCTTATCATTATATCTTTGGTGGCTAGAATTGTATGGGAGAAACAGACACTCCATAAATATTGGTTAAATGAATGAATGAATATATTATAAAAGAGAATATTTTAAAGTTTCAATAGTTTAACTACTAACACAACTGATGATAAAATTTTAAAGATAAACAAATATAAATAGTAAAAATAAAAAAACTAAAATTGTTTTAAAAGTCATGAAAAATATTTCCATCAAGCGTTCACTGCATAAATAGCTCATATAAATTATAAAAAACCATTAAGACATTTATTTGCATAAATGAAAATAGTATACAGACATATCACACAAAAACAAATTAGAGAAACTTTGATTTTTCTTGCACTTAATTAGCAACAGCTTATAAAATCTCTACACAATGGCACCAAAGTAAAATGTTACAACTCTTCAGGAATGCAATGAGGCAAACATAAACTATAAAACTGTTGATATAATTTCACTTTATCCCACTCCAAGAATTTATCCTAATCAAACAGAAAGGCACTCTAGTATTCAGTAGTAGAAAAACGGTTTAAATAAATGAGTATGAATATGCAGAAAATAATCATTATCAAAGCTAAATATAAACAGTTGATACAATATCAAATATTCAAAAGTAGATGCCTTAGATGATAACTTTTTGAACAATAAAAACAGAAAACTAGTAATATAAAATTAAAATTCTGCAGTTGCATTAACATGTGAAGATTATGAATAAATTTTCATTTATTTGCCTCTACCCTTTGATCTCTACTCTTCCCTATTAACAAATTAAACCTATCAGTTTTTAAGTAGAGAAAAGGGCAGAAGCGTGGGTAGTGGCTAAAGTTGGAGATAATTACACGTGCAGGGCTGGAACAAAGCTGATCCCAAAAACAAACAGCCCTGAAGGGCTCTGTAAGCCAATATACCAGATGTTCCAGTTCCAAAAAAATCCAGAGTCCAAGGCAATCCAAGCAAACAGGCAGAGGGGTGTCACGTGACATCAACTTGCCAAGAGTATAAATAAATGCACTGCAGCCCTTGAGCAGTCCTTTTTTCTCATTCTGAGAGAGGGCTCCACCTGACCTAGCTTTCTGTTTTCTAACTCTTTTGTTAATTTCTTCATCCTCTACGGTCCTTCACCCCAAGAATTTTAAGAGCTTCACAGGATGCACACAGTTCTTTGGGTTCTAAAACCTAAATACTTCTCATTTGAACTTTAATTGGTAATGAAGGAAGTCATATCTCAATCTGTGACATTTGAACAAGCAGGGACAGCCATTGTAACCTTTGGTTAACATAAAATGTAGGACACTAACTGAATGTGTAACAGTATAAACTTTCAACTTATAAATTTATGTGTTTGGCATGTTAATATATCATGATATCAATTTTCTTCTCATTTTCTATCTTACCCTAACAATTAACTTAATGTTTTCATTTACAATATGCTGTCAATATGCTGAATACACTCTACTGAGAAGTATAACTTTTATATTAAGTTTATATTAGATTAAGCACAAATAAAACCACTTTGGTTTACATATTATAAAATTTTTGAGATTGTAAGCAAATATCTTTAAAAAAGGCAATTCACAGAAACCTAGAAACCTTATTTCATGGTTATTTTAAATGAGCCTTTCTTTTGAAATTACATTTGAGTAAATGAACAGGGATTTGGGTGTTTCTATAGGACAGCTGTATAATATACTACATTCCCATAACTAAAATATAAAAATTTCATTACATGAAATTTGCCATTTTGTAATCTGACTACATTTTCAAAATTATGGAAAGAGAGTGAACTTTCTTAAGCTATTTGAATGAAACACTTGAGAATCATTCTTTTTAAATATTCAGAGCAGAAGAGATTCGCTGGAAATGCTGAGCAGTTATCTCCATGTCTATAAATATCACTTGAAAGAGCAAACAAAGAAACATCATACAGATGAATGCTTTATAGAAAGATATAAATAAACACTAAAAAAATGAAGAAAACTGTAGGATAATATTCTTTAGTCTAAATTTTAAAAATTATGTTATTTAGTAACTTGATTCAAAGTAGTTTACTATGTTAATATAATCACCAAGAAAATATCTCATAGCTGCCAGAATACAATGCTAAGGAGCTGTCTTCTATTCTAATGGCAGAGATGAAATTAATTAATTATATTCTACTTACATCCTGCTAGTGGTAGCAGGATAATCCGGTTCATCTAAAAATACGATCTAAACACAGCCATTACTAGATGTGTGCAGCCTTATCAGTAAAATGTTTTAGTACTAATAAACTCCAAAACATAATAAAGAATTCAATAATGGTTATTCCACAGTAGAAGAATTTCAAAACAGTGGAGCTAAAGGCCTAAATAAAATAGTATAATTACTTTTGTGAACCTAAAGAAAACATGTAGGTCACATATTTCATTCATTAGAAAATTTGTTCAGCTTTTTCACAGGAAAAGACTGAAGCAAGATCAAACTCAGAAAGTTAATCTTCCTGAATCTAATCAAATTCATATTTTAATAAGATAAAAACATCTTTAAAGAACAATCCATAGAAGAGCAAAGAACTGAACAACTGCAAGGCCATATGTAAGGTATAGCAAATAAATTATATGCTATAGAAACTGTTAGTGATGCTTTGCTTTCTTCATTCAAAAAAAAAAAAAAAAAAAGAGTATTCATTTGTCTCTCGCACATAGCTTGTCATTCTGTATCTGCACACAGGATTCATTCAAATGTCAACCAGGAAACGATGATCCTTCAGACCAGTCTCAACATGTCTTAATTACATCACCCTCTCCCTTTGTCTCACTTAGAGTTATGTATTCACAGTTCATGTCCTGCTCATTTGCCTCTTCAGGTTGTGATTTTTTAAGTGCCAACTCAGCTGGGCAAAGAGAAGAGCAGTGCCCAAGGGACTGTGCGATGTCATCAATGGTCCACTTGTCTTCAGGAAGGGCGTGCTCTTCCAGTGTAAAAGGCCCCTGTTTCGTTCGGGTCAGCTCCAGTACACTGGCACAGGAAGACAGCGCTACAGCAGCAAAGGTGAAAGTACACAAGATAAACGTCAGGGCATATGGCTCAGTCCTCTCAAGACCAAACACTGCTGTAGTAATGTAATTAACTGCAAACAATGCAAAAACCATGGGCCTTGAGATAAAATGTAGCAAAATAACATTTAATAACTTATAAATTGCTTATGGCTTGTAAATAATTGGTAAACATTTTTCTCTATTTAACTCACAGAGCCACGCCAAAAGGTAAACAGCACCTTTACTTTGCCTATGAGAGCACAGACTGCCATGACTGGCAGGACTGCCAGGAAATAGCAGAGCCATAACCACAACTTTCTGGCTATTTCCAACACTATTTGCAATACCAATTTAAAAATTTGATTTGTATCAATGAAAATAACTTTGCGACGAACAGATTTTTTTCTGACACCACTTTAAGTTAAAATGCTCTGCACTGAACGAATTGGCCCTAATATCCATTATTCCTGTTCCTCCTCCTCTTCTTTCCCATTCCAAGCCTCTTACTACAGCTGCTATAAACCAACAAAGCTTCCAAAGCTGAAGACAGCAAGAGTTTAGCTCCTCAGGCTAGTACTCAGAAATATGAAAGACAGAAAATTCCCTCTTCCCATAAAAGAGGAATATTACTCTCTAAATGATAATTCATAATTCATTTTTCTGCTTACCTTTGCCAATGTCACTGACCAAGCTTCTGATATAAAAACCTCCTCCACATTCAACATCTGGAATGTTAACAGTGACATAGTAAATTGCTAACTTCCTATGAAATCTACTTTACATAGAAATGATGTCCCTGAACAAATGTAAAAATGCACTATGCAAACAATTGAGTGATAAAATATTTATGTGCTAAAACATAAATTATTCATTCAGTAGCATATGTGTTGGTGAGATTGAAAAGTCAGCGTGGAAAAAAGCAAACAGCAGAAACTCACGAACACATTTTAAATTAACTGGCAAGCCATACCCCTTTAATATCTCAGTCTTACTCATTTAATAGGTTTCAAGTAGTTAGAAATCTCAGCTTTGCTATAGATGTGGAAAACTATTTTCAGATATGTATACCTTGTTCATTTATTAGGATTTAAATGGTGAAAAATCTCAGCTTTGCTACTATGAGCTGTAAGTTTTTAAAATATTTTCAGAGTTGTACAAAGAAAAAAATCTCTTCACAGTAATAGTAATTATTTTTCAGATTCTACCTAGAGAAAGAGAGCTCAGCATATTTAAATGTTCTTAGAAATATTCCAGAAAGAAAGAATTAAAATTATATGCTAATTAAATAATATCTTAGAATTTTTAAAATTCCTATTTAATTACATATTACAATATTCTAGAAACATCTTAACAGCATTACAGAACTTTATTGGTTAAAAAAACCAGCCCTGCTTTATTTTTTCAACAAGACATCCTGAAAAGGGCTGGCCCCATTTCTACACAAAAGGGCTACATTCTAGCTGTTTCTAGTCCTATGAAATACTGTAAAGCCACCACCTGGGGATTTTAATTTTTTTTTATCAGCTCATAGTTGGGGGCCAGAGATAAGATAAAAGAGGAACAGTAGAATCAAATATAAGCATGCTAACATTTTTGCATTATATTTGACATTGCTAGATAGTTCTTTTGGGGTAATGCACTCTCTAGTCAACAATATATTTATGACTTACATGCAGTCAGAGAATTTAAGGGTTTTTCTTACTTTTGTAGATGAAATCTATGCTCTCAAACCAGCTGCTACATTTTCATGCAGCAAACCATTTTTCAACGTGTTTTTTTATTATCTGTTCAATACTTTAGAACCAGGAAACTTAAGAAAAGGCAGGGAATTTTTTTCTAATTGTACAGAACCACATTCTGAAGAAATTTAATCCACATTAAATGATATGATGCTAATGGAAGAAAAAACCAACTAGTTTAGAAATAAAGATAATTACAAAAGTTTTTCTAAAAGAAATCCTATTCAACATGCATTATAAAATTAAGGGTGGGGTTAACTTTAGGGAGCCTGTGAATTAAGAACAGTAGCTTTTGATTCTTCATTGTTACTATGTTTAAGGCTTCATCTACAACTTTCTACTGCAAGAAGAACAGAAAACTTTTAAACAATCAAAAGGAGCATTTTAATTTTTCAATTTATTTCAAATATAGATTACATAGCCAAATTGATAACCTAAATTAAAATGTGACTGTGTAACCAACAATACATTTCTGCCTTACCATCTTCAAGATTTTTAACAATAACTTGAAGGGAACAAAAAAGGGGGGTGGAACTCAGTCCATCTGTAGACATTTTTAGAAAATGCTTCTTGAAAATACGTAATGTTTACCTATTCTTCTTCATGCAGTTCTAAGGTATATTATTTTCAGTTTTATAGTAAGATGGTATAGTATGGTATATTACTTCCAGTTTTATAGTAATATATGAAAAACTCAGAGTAGTTAGAAAGGCCATGCAGCCAAGTTAAGTAGTTAGAAAAGCCATGTAAAGTTCCATGTAGCTATAGGTATCTTACTAAATGTCTTATCAAATTATATCTTTTCTTTTTGAAAACCCCTTCAGTATGGTAGATATCCATTAAAATTATACAACATTAGTTAAATACAAAATAAAGGTATATGTAACTATAGACGATTTCATTTCCCTTACCTAATGTAAAAAATGGTGGCTGGAATTTTTCGAGGGAGATACTGTATACAGTAACTGGCCTGGCAGGTTTTGCTTCTACTACTTTTCCTCTCTTCATTAAAGTTGAAAGTCTCTGCCCATCTTTCTTTAATGCAGAATAGCTTGCCAAACAAAAGAGGGACAGAGTGAGAGAGGAAGATTTGAGTCACTGGAGAGAGAATGAGAAATATTAAGTCCAGATGACAGCATAAAAAGAAAGGGTAATGAGCAGTCCTTTAAATTGAAATCTCTTCTTAAAAATGTACCAGTTGTCCCCGACATCCAATCTATTACACCGTGTTGATGGGGATAAAGTTCCTAAATGCTTCTGAGGCTAATATAAGCCCATTCTGGCACTCAATAAGCAATGATATCAATTTTATTCTTTAATCATCTTCCCAGAGACGGCTATCCACATTTTCTCTTTACTAGGCCTCATTGTATGCTGAGGTACAAGGAACTTAGTAGTAACCTTTGGTCATAGTAATCTCAGCTAAATTTCCTTGAAATCATTCTATTATAAAGAACTTATTTTCATTTAAAAGTTACCAAAAGTTTCTAAAACACTAACAAGCAAATGATATTCTTAATAAATCTTAACTTTGTGTGATAAAATTTTATTAGATGACCAAATTCTTGGATAGTCAAAAAAAGAAAATCTAAAATGGTCCTCTGGGATTTAGCTCAGCTGCATAAGCACCTACCTGGCAAGCACAAGGTTATGCGTTCGATTCTCAGTATCCAAAAAAAAAAAAAAAAACCTCATAAATAAATGCAAATGTTTAATTTAACAATAACCTAAAATAGTATTTATACCTCTTACTAAAATTTTTAAAGCTTTGCTTTTGAGAAAAATTAAAAAACACTTTTTCACAGATAGTTCAATGTTCTTGGAAACAAACAAACCAAGATTTTAAAAACAAAATAAGTAGTAAGTTCTAAACTTTTTCTGACACATTCTATAGCCATTTCACTATTTTTAAAAGAGTAGAAAAGCTGGAAAAAAAAAAAAAGAACTGGTGAGCACAAATCCCAGCTGTGGTAATAACCAGGAACAAAGGAGACTGCATTCTGCTACCTCTTAGGGTCAGACGCTTCACATGCGGTCTAAATCAGGTTCACTTTTTTTTTTTTGTCTTTTTCTTTTTTATCAGTACTGGGGATCGAACTCACAAACACACACTTGCAAGGCAGGCGCTTATGCCACTGAGCTAAATCCCCAACCCATCAGGTTCACTTTTACGTGATCATTCACTTTGTCAGATTTAAAACCTGCCTCAACCAGTACAAAAAACAAAAAAAGTCCTCATAAACAAATGTAAAACATTTATTTCTTTTGCCTCAACATATAGCAAATGGAATTCCATTTTATTTCAATTATGGTGATGTTAACCCATAGAAAACAAAACTAAACACTTACTCAAATTCAATATTTGAACTTACAGAGGGGGTGTCTGCATTATATTTCCAGTAAACTTCTGTAGAATATTTTCAATATCCTCTTGTGTTATTTTATCTGCCAGAGTGAACAAGATCAAAACAAAGTAAAACAACCACAGAAGTACATGTATTTTTTACAGCATCAACAGCTCTAAACATTCACTGAAAGAACTTTTTTTCCAACAAAGCACATATTATTACAGTGTATGTCCAGTAGGTCAAATTGTACCTTGTTGAGAAAAATAAAATACATTAATTAGATAAGAGATCTTATATCATTATTTTATTAAGACTAAATTTCCTTTGCTTCAATTTTTTCTCCAATAAAAATGATTTGATCATAATATATGCATTCAGTGGGTTCCACGATCTTTAGAAGACCTGAAGAAAATGCCACATTAGCTAAAGAAATGGTCCTGCCGTGAATAATGGGGTAACCAGAAATGAGGCAGAAAAATAATATCAATAAATTCTTTTCTCAGTTTCTTTAGGCATCAAATATTATAAATAATTTATTTGGTACTGAAGATTATTAAGTACTATTCACATTTTATGTTTTACCTGATAGATTTCAAAACTATTCTGTATTAGGGCATACATTTTATGCATTCACATTCAATTTTACCTCCAAGTTATACTTCTATATCTCCCTAACCCTTCTCTGCTGCTTTTCTTTAAACATTCTCAGGCCCCAAAAATAAGACATTGTGGAAAAAGAATATAATAACCATTTTTTTAAATAATAATTTTAGAAAATTCGAATAAACACTAATACATAAAGTTTTTAATATCTGTTAGTCATGTTTTCAACCTGTTTTGTATTCTTTCAAACAAATTGATAACAGTATTACATGGCTCCATAATTTTAAAAACAATACTATGCCATATAAATTCAATATGCAGGATTTTCACACTTACAGATGAATCTTTATGCATATTTCATATTCAGCAATAAACTAAACCTTAAAAACAGTCCATAGTTTGTTTAGGCCAGTCAATGTAAAGAAATAACATTGTTTTTATGATTTTGTGGTACCTTTTATCTAGCTTATGTACATTTGCTTTGATTTAAACAATAGTAAACAAAAACTAAGTGGTATGTTTTGACTTACTGTTCTAACACAATCATAAGAATTAAAGGACATTGAATGCAAAGTCCTGGTAACAAAAAAAAGAACTAAAGGACATCAAGGCAGGCTTAACCTTAAGGTGACCTTGATTCCTATAGGCTAAATACAAACGAAAGACTACAATTTATTAGACCTAGAAGATGAAGAACTACAGAACTCAAGAAGAATTTCAACATCTACCAACTGCCAAATCAGAAAGCTCATGTGGCAGTTTGTTCAGTTTCTCAAACAGATGTGTATCATTATATGGATGAAGATTTTTCCATGAAAATATTTCATTCCACTGCAACCTTACATATAAAGTGGCCCCTTAGCTATGCAAATCTGAGGTTTTTAAATCTAGATGGCCAATGCTGCCACCATGCTGGCACTTGCAGAAAGAACTGTCACTGCTGCCAAATTGCAGCTGTTCATAACTCAGCCACATAATTTAAAACACAACCAGTTCTCTTCTGCGAGGTTGCTCTCCTTATTGATGCTCCTGCAAATGTGCAGTCCTTTGTCCCTGCTTTAGTGACTTTTTCACTGATAGCCGCTTGCATAAGATGATGTGTTCTTTCTCATTCTACTACTGCAAGCTGTCTCTTTCTGACTTTACATTGCAGGCATTTAAGGTATGTACTGTTCATCATGCAATTAAACATACACAATTTTTAAAAATATTTAAAGGCATTATCTCACCAGTGAGATTTTGAGCTTCTCAAAGGCAGACAGTTTTTTTTTCCACAGATAACATATACTATTAGGATGGCACTCAAGACATTCTTGCTGAAATTTAATTTGCTAAAAAATAATAGAATCTTAAGGTTGAAGGTCATTTAAAAGTCACCTACACTATCATTCATCTGATGTTTCAATTGCCAGAAAAAAAGCTTACACAGCAAGTCGTTTCATGACAAAAGCTGAGCTTGTGATACGTGAGCATACAGTAAAACATACTGGTTACATCTACAATGTGGTATTAGTCTAATTCAAGTGACAGTCTATACAAATAATGTCTCTACCTCCAAAGGAGTTAAAAAGAAAGTAGCATAAAATCTCCAAAGCAAGAATATCCAGTAACTAGCCAAAAGAAGTATATTTGGTGAAAGAAGATAAATACATCACAAATGTTTTAGGACCTGGATAATTATGCTTTGTTTAGTGAATTAATAAGACTCAGTGTCATAGTATTCATTTGAAATTAATTTGAAAGTCATTCTCATAAACTTAATATTTGCAAGATCATGTTGCAAATCATTATTTACTTAAAATTTATTGATTCTTCCAGTGAACGTACAATCATCACTAATACTCCACTAAACTATGGAAATAAAAAAAGAATGATGGACTTAGAAACAATAAGCAGCCACGGTACAGTAGCTATGACTCTGGAGAAGTGCAGCCACCATAGTAACTGTTAAACTGCAAAATACCCTGAAGAATTGCTTTTAGACATTGGACAAAAGGCAGGAAGGACTAAGAAAAGCAAAACAAAGAAGGTAATGGCTTTCTTACCCATGGGAGAGAAGGAGAAATTCCAAACAAAGCAAAATGATCTCACTGAACCCAGATCAGGATTTAGGAGCAGATACAGAAAGGTCTGGAGGAAGTTACACAGACACAGATGTTTATAGGGGTTTCCTGAGATCTAATTTTGAGCTGCACACGTACAGTGAGTCTGCACACCATTAACTATCTTCTACCAAAGCTCTTCTAAAGTTGGGAGATGTCTGAATTTCAACCATGCAGAATGAAGAAATTTTGCTGGACGATATTATCAATAGAAACCCAGAAAAGCTACACCTTGGTAGTAGGGGTAATCCAGACCAAATGGAATAAGAGGTAGGCTTGACACAAGTGTCTTACAATTTTAGACACGTAGATATATCCTAACAATCCCTACAAAAGCAGCTAGAATAAATGAGTTTTAAAAGGTTGATAAACACAAGCTCAATATGTCAAAATTAATTCCATTTCTACACACTAACAATAAACAATTTAGTGAAATTAAAATGCAAAATTAAATTAAAATAAAAATGACATTAACTGAAAAATTCCATTTACAATAGCATCAAAAGTATTAAGCACTTGCCAATTTTATACACAAAGCATATAGCATCTGTATACATGACTATAGTACCAGCACTTGGGAGGTTGAAACAGGTTTAGGAATTCAAAGTTAGCCTTGGCTACACAGTAAGATCTTGTCTCAAAAAAAGAAAAAGAAAGAAAGAAAAAAATCTATACACAAAACTGTAAAAATATGACTATAATAAAATCAAACATTTAAAACAACAGAGATGTATCTTATTTCATGGTTTGGAAGATTCAATATTATTAAGATGTCAATTTGCTACAAATTGTTGTAGAATCAACTAAATTTCAAAAATCCTAGCAGACTATGTGAATGCATATATATGTGTACAAACTGACATACTAATCCATATGAAAATGCAAAGGACTTCAAAGAGTCCAAACAACTATGAAAAATAATAAGTTGGAAAGCTAACACTCCTTTCTCTAGACTTGTTATAGAGCTGTGATAAAATGGTGTAACACTAGCATAAAAATAGGCAAACAGATTAAATGGAATAGGGTCTAGAAATAAAAGTATGCATATATGGACATATATGTTTTGACTGAGATTCCAAAATATTTAGAGTAAGGACAGTCTTTTTTAGAAACAGTGCTAAAATAATTGGTAGTTAATAGATTAATTGCCAACTGCAGTGGGAATGCCCAGCTGAGCTGTCAGTGTGATTCTGACCCATTGTAGGACCCATTATAGGGAGGGATACAGACCCATTGTAGGGAGGACTGTTGTCTATTTAAAGAGGAAAATGGGAGGTAAGGATTTCAGTGCATTTTCCTTGGAAAAGCTTCATCAGGGGCTGATTTTGCTCAGTTAGGCTGTTCTCTTCAGAGGGGCCCTGGTCTTTCCCTTCACCCTCACTTTAGGAGTTGTTGCCTGGCATGTAGCACAAATTTTTCAGCTTCCAGCACCAGCCTTTGGATCTTCAGTTACAGATCCTTCGGCCTGCTAATGTAGATTCACAGGGGACATTGCTGGGGCCCCAGGACTTCCACTGGACCCTCAGATCTCTAATGAATGGACAGATCTTTTGCACTTTTCTACATTTAACTGTGTGATGGCCATGGTAGGCCACTCCTATAAATATCTGTGTCCTATATTAAATCTGATTCAGAACATGTACAGTCTTTTGGGAGCCTTGTACCAGCCCTGCAAGTTCTTGTAAGCACTGATTAATGTAAATGTCCACTCGAAAAGAAAACAAAAAACCTCCCAGATTCATACCTGAGATCGTATTAAAAAATTAACCTCAAAAGAGATAACACAAGGCATATGGTAGTAGATATCATGGTCAACCCTACTCTTGAGTGATTTAGGAAAAATTATTTGCTCTACTCCTGTAACTGCTCTCTGTTATTTTAAAGATCATAAAGGAATATTATGAACAACTTTAAGCCAATTGCATTTGACATTTTAGATGAAGTAAGATAAATTCCTAGGGAAACATTATAAGAATGATACAAGAAATAAAAACTGTCTGATAATTAGCTAAAAATGTCCTTAACAAAGAAAATTCTAGAAGAAATGTCTGTCCATAAATTCTATTAGACATTAGAAAAAGAAATTAGGACCAACTTTTTTTTTCAGAGAACAGAAAAAAGTTGTAGCACTCCCTATATAGATAGTACTTACATGTTTCCCCAAAGCCTCATGCCCTTACAGATGGAGCTTTTGAGAGATGGCTGGTGATAGGGTATGTGAATATGGATTACAGTTATGACAACTGGATTAGTCCTCTGATAGAATTAGCATGGTTCTGGGTGTAGCTGAATGGACTGACTGAAAGCAGAAAATCCAACCTGGGTGTGAGTGATGCCAACCAAAAGGCTCATAGTCTGAACAGGATAGAGAGGGAAAGAGAAGCTCACTGCT